AATATTAATAATTAAATAATAATTATTATTATTAAATAAAATAATTAGAAGTTAAAATAATTATTTGGATGGGTATTAGAAAGAGGACAAAGACAAAACAAATCCTGCAAATTCGGTGACCGCCGCATCCACTAAGATCACGGGATCAATTGATAGTTATTAGCTACTAAATAAATAAATAAAAATAAATGAATAAATAATCTTGCAATATTTATATGCAAATTTCACATAGATTTTTTTTTTCCAATTGAATTTACAATAGGGTTTGACATTTTCCATTCAATGTATTATTGAAGATCCATGGGCGGTCTTCGTTTTTTAATATATTTATTTTTCTCATCTTAATTTAGTATCGCTCTACCAATTTTATTTTATTTTTAAGGGTATATTACAACCATCCCTGAGGTATGGTCAAATTACGAAACCTCTTCTTGTTTGGATAATTACATTTACATTCCTCAACTATGAATCTTCTTACGCCTCCACCCTTATGGTGTCAAATTCAACATAATTATCTAGTTTGTACTCGCTCTGTGTAAAAAATACAGTTTCTGATGCACCGCAATCTGATATATACAAGCCAAAAACCACATCTTATGATCATCTTACTTCAAAATATGGAGCTCGAATGGGATGAAACGAGTACAAAAGTGATAATATCCCATATAATCAAGAAGATTCCACTAAATTTGAAACCGCAAGGGTGGACCTGTAAGAAAATTTATAGTTGATGGGAGTTTTTGTAATTACCCAAACAGTAGGGGGGTTTTCGTAATTTTATCATACCTCATGGGTGGTTGTAATTTACCCTATTTTTAATTGTAACATGCTATGGGGACTAATTCGATAACTGAGCGGATGGTACACCTGGTTATATGCATCTGGTGAGTTTTAACCGTCGATGGAGTTAAATAATCAATCACTAAGTACACATACGTGTGTGTGTGTGTGTGTGTGTGATTATGTGCAGATCAAGAGTTAGAAATCAGTGTATATGACCATACATAACATCAAAGGGTGACTTCGCCACTAGCTGTTGGTCCTAAAGATGTGTTTGTAATTACCGATACTATAAAGATTTGTGAGTTATTTAGTTTGATCTGAGGGTATACCCGTAATTTAACCTAAAAATAAACATGCCTAAAAACCAGAAGGCAAAAGAAAGTATTGTCATGCATTATTGTGTCGTGAATAATAAATGGGCCGACCACCTGAGATACAGGCCCAATATTTGTTCTTACATGTAGCTATAGAACTAAAAATGTGTTGTCTGCCCCACTCTGCAGTATGAAAAGACTATTTGGTTGGCCCAATTTGGTGTAAATTTTTATAATTTTTGCAAACATTTTATTTATTTATTTTTATATATTTTTTTTATCAATTTAGGAATTGGATAAAATTGAAAGGTTTTTGTGGATGAGATGTGTTTTACATGACCCATTTGACCCCACTTGAACCCACCTTGTTTTCAAATTTTAATTTTATTTAATGTGTGACATTCTTTTTTTTTTTTTTAATTATTTCTGATGTATAAAATAGATATAGCATAACATAAATTCAAATTGACCTAATTAGTCTAATACGTTAGGTGCATGAACTTTTTTTTTTGGGCGAACACATCGATCGTCGTATTCTTGATTCGGTCAAGTCAAAGCCTGAGTACGATGTCCTTCGAACAGTTAGTTGATACATCTGATTATTTACGCTATGTGTTTGTTAATCGCAGATGAGGTTAAATAACCACCTACTAAATACATATAAATTTTGGTGTGTGTAATTAATTATGTGTAAATATAAGACTACTAAACATCCCGTGTAAATAACCAAGTATAACTTCTAATTTCCGGTGACGTCTCAAGTTTCAACTCTTCTTGGTCAACTTTTAGCTCGAAAAAATCCCGAATTACCTAATTTGAGTAATTAAACTTATAAATGATCTTAAAAGGTTATTACTTATTGGTTAAGAACATTTCATGAAAATATGGAAATAGGTGGTCAAAGAAGTGTACATGTCTGTCTAGCCATGGTAAGAATAGACAGAATGATGCAGCTGCCTTGTCTAGTCACGTGCCTATATATATTAGCTAACATTCAATTCTTGATAATTATTTAATATTTATCAAAAAAAAAGAAAAAAAGATAATTATTTAGGAGAACACTATTACATTAGTTGATCTTAGGATGGATAATTTCTTGTTATTACTTTTCCATCCACAAATAATATATTTTTCAATTTTTTAATTAATCTATTTATTTTTTGTAAAATAAATCATAATTGTATTCAATAATATGTGATGGGGTTCGGTTTGGCAACTGTGGCCCGAACATTGGTTGGTGGGCTCAATGGCGAGGGAAAAATTAGGCCGATATGAACATGTAAGATCGAGGCGAAGATATGGGGCCAATATGTTGATGTTGGGCCAAAAGCCCAATAAAAGTTAAATTCGTCGGTCAATATAATAATATTAGCGCACTTATGAGTTCGCTAAGATGCTTTAGGCAATACTCGACGGTGAGCTGATGCAGAGATAGATGAAAAATGAAGATACATGAAAATATTATTAAAAAATAGACAAGTAAATAGCATAAATCTTGTGAGGATCACATAATCAAGATCGAATCCTAGACCAATTAGGAGAATCCAATAGAAGAGAATATCCCTATAGATATTTCCTATACATAGGAACGTATATGAGAATTTTTAAGTTAAGTTTTACGTTCAAGAAACAAGCAAAGAATAAAATACTTTGACCTTTCTTTTTCTTTCTCTAAATCGGCTCGCTTTTGCTTGAATATTTTTGATTGCCGGTTGCTCTCGTCTGACCAGTATTATGACATCGAGTCACAATTAAGCGCTTAGATTTAATAAAATTAGGTCTAGTTCGATTATCAGTATCTAGTTAAATTGGATTAATTTCATTTAATTAGATAATAAGAAGTTTAGTTTATTTTATTAAATCTAGTACTAAAATGTTATTTTAAAAAAAATATCTCAAATTCTTGTTACAATAGTTGTAAATTAATTAGTACAAAATTTATCCAATTCAATCTAATCGAAGTTAATCTTATCTAATGTAGTAGATAACCAAACGAGCTAACTTCCATATAAAGCAGTAAATGCTGTCGTCATAATTTACCCTTTTACTTATTCAAATTTTATGATTAAAAAAAAAAAAAAGAGTTGATTAAAATTATTAAATATTTAATCCCATCATCGGCCCACTTATCCTTGTCCGCAAATATAGTACCGTTTGTTTCTTGGGAAACCACAAACAACATCGGGCCGGGTAATACGGGTCGAAAACTAAACACACGGATGGGTGGGCGGGTGGGTGGGTTCCCAATTTTGATTTGACCCGACCCGCTTCAAACCAGACCTCGAGTGGCCCAAAATACCTCTCCTCTCTCTCTTGACTCTCTCTCTCTCTCTCTCTCTCTCTCTCTCTCTCTCTCTCTTTCTCTCACACACACATACACACACTCGACGCAAAGGAAAATTCCTCCACACAGTGGGGAGCGCCTTTTGGAGACCTGGAATCGAATTCGGGCGTCGTCTTTGACGATTCAATTTGTAGGAATTCCGATTCTGTGCTGAGATCTTCCACCAATACGAATCCCCAATTCTCTCGTTCACCATTTGCTCAAGGGTAAACTACTTTTTTTTAATTTTTTTTTTTTGAATTAGAAAAATAAAATCATAGGGTTTCTGCTTTCGATTTTACGGAAATTTAGCGTGTTTATGATTTGATTTGCTAAGTTTTTGCGGCGTTGAGCTGGAATCCCTACCTGCATTTCCCTATATGTGCAGACAAATGTATTATGTATGTATAGAATAATCTGTATATATATATATATATATCTGTTCATGTCTTTTTTCGTCGGAGAAGTGTCTTGAGAAATCTATTAGTTGTTATTTGTCATACACTTTGTCTGATTAAACTGATCATAATTAGGCATTCGTTGGAAGGGTTATATTCGATTAATGTTAATCGAGATTTTGGTGCAACTGAGTTGAAAGAAAAGAATGTTGGTTGTGCTCAATATTTTAACTTGCATGTGCGCGTAGATCAGCTCGGTATTGTTCTGAACGATGCGTTGAGTTTCTTCGTCAGTTTGACGATCGTATTTTGTTGATCTGAAACATGGACGAACACGTGTTTTATTACTTACTAAAGCTTCCTTTATCTTTCATTTTGTGACTCGTCTGTCTTGGGAAGAGGGGGTTGAAGGAATTAGCTGAATTTTACGTTCATTATTTGTCATTGCTTGTAACAAAGAGCTAAACATCGCAATATTTCGGAACCATTTTATCTGTCCCTTATATATTTTGGTTGTTTTTCGCTCATTTACTTATTTAGTTTCTGTTGCTCAATAGCTTCATGCAGTGAAAAAAGTGAGTGGTTGAAATCTGGTTACCCTGAAATCTGAAGATGTGTCGGGATTCGAGAACTACCGTAAGGAATACTGAAATTATAACCAGTGAATATCTTATGTGAATTATAGCATATAAGGTGAAGAAGCGATCAGTTTGAGGGCAGCATGGCAGAACAACTTCCGAGGGCTACTAAGAGAGCATCAAAGAATCACGAATTCAAGAAAGCATCTTCGAGTCCCAAAGAACAGCAACACCTGTCCCGAAAACAACAAAGGAAGGGGGAAAACGCGGTTCGGATTCCACCAAGTCCCGACCCATGTTTTGATTTCAAAAGTTCCAAGTCGTGGATCTGCAAAAATTCTGCATGTCGAGCCACTCTTTCAATAGACGACGCATTTTGCAAAAGGTGCTCTTGTTGCATTTGTCATTTATTTGATGACAACAAGGACCCGAGTCTTTGGTTGGAGTGCACGTCTGAATCTGGTCTTCGAGACTCGTGTGGCTTATCTTGCCACATTGAATGTGCCTTCCAAAATGGTAAGGTTGGGGTTGTTAATCTCGGGCAGTTGATGCAGTTGGATGGAAGCTATTGTTGTGCTTCGTGCGGTAAAGTTTCAGGCATACTTGGGTAAGTTGTTTTGCCTTTACCATGTTTTGGCACCTTATTGAAAATGTATTACTTTATTGACTGGTTCTACAGAATTTTTTGCTAAAATGAAATTTATGGGGGAAAATTACGATAGAGATGGTTTTGTTTTGTAGTGGTTCGAGTAAATATTTTGAATTAATGTATTTCGAAAGTTGTTGGGGTGTGTGAAAATATATGATTGAACGTGTCCATGTGAGATATATGTATAACAACAATTGTGATTTCTTGAAAATATCGGGGAAGGCAAGATGTGTTTTAGTCGATATTAACTTCTTTTTTAACTTCGATAGAATGAAATCTTTTGTGTAAAGGGAACCACACAGAGCAAAAATCTTCCAACTTAGCCCTAAAATTTCGCATGTAATTTCATGATGTTCTTGTCATTACAGAACTTACGTTCTTCATCCCATTCAAATAATATCAAGTCTATAACTTTTGCTTACTGCAGATAGAACAATGCAAGCCAGCTGTTGAAAATTGAAATACACCATTTTTATTTCGATTCAACTAGTTTACAGTATAGCAGATAGAGATTAAGCTGATAAATTTTTAAGGCATTGTAACAAATGATATATTTATTTCGACAGATGCTGGAAGAAGCAGTTAACTATAGCCAACGACGCGCGCCGTGTAGATGTCTTATGCGATCGAATAAACTTGAGTTACAGGCTCCTTGACGGTACTTCCAAATATAATGAGTTTCACAAATTTGTTAAAGACGCCAAAGCTAAGTTAGAAACCGAAGTGGGCCCACTCAGTGGAGTTTCCGCAAAACTGGCTCGTGGCATTGCCAGTAGACTCTCTGTTTCTGCTGAGGTGCAGAGACTCTGCTCACTCGCAGTCGAAAAGGCCGACGAGTTTTTGATGGCCCCAACTTCTTCTTCAACCATCAATTTCATAGGTAATTAATAGCAGTAATAATAAAAGAATAAAAATTAACAATAATACTATTTTACGGTTTAATAAATTTCACGTATTTGGCAGAGGGTGCACTTCCAGCGGCGTGCAAGTTCATGTTCGAGGAAGTGACTTGTTCTTCGGTTGTAGTTCTATTGATTGAATTATCCACCACCCCATTAGATAGTGAAATTAAAGGCTATAAGCTCTGGTACTGCAAGACGAGAGAAGAGAATTACGAGAAAGACCCTGTTTCTGTTTTTCCAAGAGATCGAAGGAGGGTTTGGATATCCAATCTGCAGCCTTGCACGGAATATTCCTTCCGTATAATATCCTACACCGACAATGGTGACTTAGGTCATTCCGAAGCAAAGTGCTTCACAAAGAGCGTAGAAATAGTTCACCGAAATAATCCAAATTTAAAAGTTCCCGAAAAGGACGTTTCAGACAATGGAGGAAGCTCGAGCGGCGACCGACAACATAGGAATGGAACAGACATAGAATCGGATTCGGGTTTTAAAGTTCGTGACCTTGGAAGAATTTTAAGGGCTGTTTGGATCCAAGAAAATCGATGTTCGGGATCTTTCTGTGCGGTTAAGGTAGAAACTCGGGAGGAAAAGTCGCCACGTCAGCTCGACTTAAACGTTGCTTCTGTGCCTGATCTGAACGAAGAGTTTAGAGATGAAGTTAATGGAGCTTTAGAGACAGATGATGATTTTTCTAACGACGTTCGTCGAAAAACAGGGCAGGATTCTGACAGTACTCTGACGAATGGGTCTTCGTTGGGAGTGGTGAATGAGGTGTGTTTGGATGAGAATTTCGAATACTGTGTGAAGATCATTCATTTTCTGGAATGTGAGGGTTATATCGAGAAAGATTTTAGATTGAAATTGCTGACGTGGTTCAGTTTAAGAGCTACTGAGCAGGAAAGAAGAGTGGTGAACACTTTTATACAGACTTTGATCGAAGATCCAAGTAGTTTGGCGGGGCAGTTGGTTGATTCGTTTTCGGATTTATCCAGCAAAAGGCAGCGAAATAGTTTGTGTTAGTGAGTTACACTTTTTTTTTAAATTTTATTGTCGTTTTTTTTTTTTGAAGAAAATATACTGCAACTAAACTCGAATTGATTCTTTGTACAGGAATTTTTGAAGCTAGCAGATAATGGAGAAAGCCCGTGATTTCTTTCTTCACTGACGACGACTACTACTACTATTATTATTACCATTGTTGAAGAAAATGTCTCACGCATTGTGGGATTTATTTTCATTTAACCTAAAAATCTTTATTTTATCACTTTTGGCTAGTGAAATTTGAGCTGCAGATTTCGATTAATTCTAGAAGCGTAGAATTGCATGCTCTTTTCTTTAGACGTTCTATATTTAATTTAACTCGTCTCTCGATTTCTGTTGTTATGGGGATAATGTGGTGTGAAACAGATGTATTCGTACCGTTAACTTGATTTATTGAAAGCTACAGTTCGATGTCTTTGGTCTATATAATTGTTTCCAATTTTCGTTCGTGTGGATCTTGTATTGTACGGGTCCGGTAAACTTCCACTTTTTTTGCAATACTTTGCAACCAGACGAGTGATGTAAACCATACTAGATATAAGTAATGTACGATAAATTCGACCGATGAAACATTGACAAATGGATTCGAACTCTGGTTATTTATTTCTGATGAATTATATATATATATATACTAGTAATACACCCGTGCGATGCACGGGGTATTCATCGTAAAACAAATATTGAATAGGTAAAAAGGTTCTCGAAATAGTAATATTAATTGTTAATAAGTAAAAGAAATAAATAGAAAATATTCAAAAATAAAACTAATTTGTATGGTGTAAGTGGTGAAATAAGTCGATATAAGTGAAAAAACTAAAAATCGAAGGTTTTAATTTCCATATACAAAAGAGCGAATATATAGTAGGTCCCAAACTTGTACAACCATAATGACATGAAAGTTGAAAACTTGAATTGTTTGATACCAACCGCCCTAAACCCATGCAACAAATCCGATACAATGCAACTGTTTAATGGTATAAAATCATTGTACAAAAATTACCAAAACAATACCAATAGAACTGACCTGCATATGTTGTACAATGGTGACACGGAATATGTAAATTGTTACCAAAACAATACCAATATCACTGTTTAATGGCATAAAATCATTTTAATAAAATTATCTTCATGATATATAATGAGCGGAGTCCATAGCAAGTTCCTAGTACAATTAAAATAAACCTACAAATGAGGAATAACAAAACATATAAATAATAGAATATAAAGGTGGTCAATGAATATTGTAATTTTCTGTATATAAAATTACCTTCATATATACTGAAAAATTTCCTTGTATACAACATTATTTGTAACATTGGTCCTATCACCAGATTCCGAGTTAACCAAAATCTATATGCCACTTCGACTCTTAACTCTCGAGAGTGCGACATAGAGTTGCATGAGACTGAAAACAGGTCTCGGCAAATACAGACCCACGTGAGAAAGAGTCTGTCCTAGACTTTTATTGATTTTCATTGCGAATGATACCATCAGCGGAAACTGACGTTGCTGGAATTTAATAGGCAATGTAGAGTTGGACGGTACCAAAGTCATTCTAGGAATGAACACCAAATCACCAATATATTTACCGGATAGGAACCTGCAGTTGAAAACGTGTTTTCCCATATTAACAACCTGAAGCCTTGTTCCATTGCACAATCCTCTGGCCTGATCAGTATTTCTGATGAGCATAACGGGAACACCTCTTTCCAATGTCAACTTATGTGGTGGAATTCCGGAGTATGATATGGTGTTGAGAAACTCAGGTGAGTATATATCTGCGTTGACATCCGACAATTACTCCTCCTTGCACATACTATCGGAGCTCAAAAAGACCTTCTCCTCTCCAGTTATGATCGACAAAAAATGATCGTTCACAAAACCGACACTCTCATCCGTGGGTGCAAGAATTGCTCTGCCTTCGATATACTCGAGAGTGAAAATGTTGGTCACCAGATCGGGATAGATAATTCTATAAGATCCAAAAAGGGATCTGAAGAATTCTGAATCAGCATGTCATCAGGAATTTCAAATGTGGCATCACCGTCATTTACCTCGCCACCATCGCCATTGCCGATTCTCAATATCCATTTCGCAAATTTTCTTATTTCATCTGCATTGGCAGAAGAGGAGGACAACTCAAGTCTCATGTTCTTGTTCAACTTCATAACGTTACATTGTATCAACAACGGTGATGAATTGATTGTATCATGAACAATGTCTTATCTCAATGCTTTCAACACAACTGGTAGAATTTGCCGAAAGTCCCCTCCAAGCACTACAACCTTGCCTCCGAATGGTATATCTTAATCAAGTATAGATTTCATTATTTTGTCGACTGCTTCGAAACAGTACATGTGCATCATCGGTGCCTCGTCCCATATGATTAGCTTTGCTCTAGACAACAACTCTGCATGTGGGCTCTGTTGTTTGATGCTGCATGTGGAGTTGTCATGTACAATTATTGGCAGTCCAAATCTCGAATGAGCAGTTATGCCACCTGGAAGTAGAAGCGAAGCAAAACCACTGGAAGCAACATTTATAACTATTTCGCCTTTTGAACGGATAGTAGCCGATAAAATTTTCCATACGAAATTCTTTCGTGTTCCTTTATGCCCATAAAGAAAGAACAGTCCACATATGTCATTTGTAACAGCATCCATGATATAATCGAACACTTTTTAATAAATAGTTTCCTCCATTGAGTTCTAACAAATATTTGATAATAAAAAATTTCTCCAATTAATAAAATGAATGGTTGATATGCAATACAAAGCAGTAGGAAACTATTAAATAAAAAACTATTTCGTATAGTATAAGTGATCAATTAAGCCAAAATAAGTGGAAAAGTTAAAAATCAAAGGTTTATTTACCGTATACAAAGAGTGAATACACCGTTGGTCCCAAAATTGTACAACCATAACGACCAATTAATTCAAATTCTTAATTTGATCCAAACAATTATTGTTATTGCGTTTGATAACAACAACCCTAACGCATGTATCTAATACAGTGCGAGTAACCTATATATTTTGTACAGTGGTCATACGAAATAACAAACAATTACCAAAACAACAACAATATAAATGTTTAATGAAATAAAATCATTTTACACTAAATTTATCTTGATAAAAAATCTCGAGTGGAATCGATAGTAAGTTCATAGTACAATACAAATTACGAATAACCATACATATAATTAATAAAAAAATTAAAGGTTGTTATTTAATAATGTATACAATTTTACGTAGTTACCTTAATATATGATGAAAAGTTTCCAGATGTACCACATTGTTTGTAACGTTGGTCGAATTTCCAAATTCCTACTTGATAAAAATCTTACATAGGGGTTATTTAATTGAACAGCTTGCACACCAGATTTGGATAAACAAACTCTATAAGATCCAAAAAACGAATCGAAAGAATCATGAATCGTCCTGTCATCGGGAATTTCAATTCCAGTACTGTTTTATTAATATCAATCTTAATCATAATCCTCAATTTATTTTATGCTACACCCAATAAAATACACCAGGTAGATCTTTACCATTCATATGCGCACAAATATACAAACACATACATTGGTGTGTGGATCCAAGGTAAAAAAAATTACCCAGTGTAGTCTTCATCGGCTGTAGCAGAGAAATAACCCATAATCCTCATACTAATACTAATACTAATAATATTATTACATATATCATATGATAATGCTAACTTTAATATACTAATGTCAATAATAATACTAATATTAATATACCAATAACAAAAACAATACTACTACCAATACCAGTACCAATACCAGTACCAATACCAAAACCAAAACCAAAACCAACACCAACACCAACACCAACACCAACACCAACACTATTACAATTACCATTACCATTATCATTACCAATCACATTACCATTACCGTTACCATATCCCTTACCATTCCCGTTAAAATTGCCATTATTATTGCCATTACTATTACCATTATCAATACCATTACCATTGCCATTACATGTACCATTATCAATACCAATAAAAATATTAATACTAATATCAATACCAATACTAATATCAATATCAACACAAATACCAATACCAATACCATTA